TCACTACACACCAAACTGTTTCACTACACACCAAACTGTCTCACTACACACCAAACTGTTTCAATACACACCAAACTGTTTCAATACACACCAAACTGTCTCACTACAAACCAAACTGTTTCACTACACACCAAATAGACCCTTTTCAAGTTCCAAATTACCGCTGTGTTTCGTGATTACAGACTCATTTGCACAGGGTTAGCCTCGATTTTGTGAAGAATATTCACGTGTTCCAGTCATGGTTCGTGGAATTTCAAAGTGTTTGTATTGTTGAAGTTGTGCATTCTTTACTTTACCATTGGTATTTGTGAATATTTAAACACTGATACGAGGCTAACCCTGTGCAAATGAGTCTGTAATCAAGGAACACAGCGGTATTTTGGAACTCGAAAAGGGTCTATTGYCTCACTACACACCAAACTGTTTCACGACACAACAATATCGTCAGGGATGGGATTACGTTTTTCACTTACCATTCTTTAAAAAAAATCAACTGCGTGTTGGCTCAGTTAAAAGAACATCCAAAAATATAGAATAAAATATCGAGAATTCGTTCAAAGAAGATGGTGTGATGAAAGCGAATAAAGCTTGTTGCTGAGCACTTCTTGCCTACGTGGCTTTGGGAAATAGTAGATGATTCACAGAAACACGAGAATATGAAGTGGTGCCGGATTCCTAACATCCGAACTTAAAAAAACAACATTACGCATTAAACATTAATGGGAGACTGCTTTAAGACAATTAATTATGGAATGTAATTGGCAAATTGAATTCTAATTACTGTTTTTTCGTCGTCAGGAAGACCAAAAGCATTTGTTAATTGATTCTTAAAAATTCCTTTTTTATGTGTGTTTTTGTTTCTGTGAAAATATAATTTGTTTGTCTTAGACGGACAAATTTGACCGACAGTACGTGAGAAAGCCGAAATAGCCAACAATTATGGGAAACAAGTGAATTTCTGAAAAGCCAGACGTCGTACTTGTTAGAAAATTGGTAATTGATAAACTAAGAGAAGTGTTCACTTTGAGATGCAGTGTTTGGATTATGTATACACAACTCAATTGTAAAATCATTGACGGGCCTCAAAAATAAAACAGAGCAGAGCAGAGCAGAGCAGAGCAGAGTAGACAAGCCTGTTTCGTGAATTGCTTCACTCTTCAGGGGATTTAATGAGAAGAATATATATATCCTATTCCTGTCTTAGCGCCGAAAGCTGCAAAGTAAATTTTATAGGCTGGCGCCACCTATATAGCAAGGCAGGAAACGGCTATTCCAAGACAAAATGTTTTGGCAACACGATTAGTTTTTGCGTGTTTGCCGTGTATTGACGTCAAAGCCAAAATCTAAAAGTAGCAGCAAAGTGAAAACAGGCTTAAAGTTGTTTTGCACAATCTCTTATTTTTCTAAGCTAAAAATATGCATACAAAAAGTAACATGCAAATTATATTTAAAAAGTTGTTGATTTTGGCGAATACGTTATTTTAGTCCATTGGAAACCTGACTAAGAACTGATTACCATAAACTGATGTTATTTAACAATTATTCACCGAAGCCGAAGTGAATATTGGGGAATATTTACCAAGACGCGAGTCTTCGAGCGGCGAGGTAAATATTCCCCGATATTCACTTCGCCTTCGTAGAATAATTGTTTTAGTATACGCAGGTGATTCTTTCAAAACAAAGGAAAAAAAGAAGATAAAAGCCATTTTTTTCCGGTAACAGCAACAAAGCGGCTGGCTGCCATTTTGGATTATCGCTGGAGGTGATTATCGTGTGATAGGGTGAGTTTCTCGACCAATCAGCGCGCTAGATTTTCAATAATCACCTGTATTTTTTACTACAAACTAATAATATGGATTTCGAAATTCCTGCAGCCTTTTTGATCACTGCATGCATTATAACTAATATATGTCAGCCAGAACGTTAAAAACTAATGCACACTCCGATAAATTCATTCGTTAATTTCGTTTGAACGAGGTACCGACAAGAGCTTGTTATCTTTGGGTGTGGCGGCGAGAAAACATCGCAGTAGACGTGGAATTCGGTATCACGTGGATTGCAGGGAGCGAATTCCTCGTCTCAGCTCAAAACGAACTCTCAAAACGAACTTAGGAGAAGTTGAAGGAGAAGTGTATCTTTTCAGTGTTGTAGAGCATTGCTTAATGTAAAATCGTCTTTAGCAACATTCTGTTTCATATTTTTTTCGAAAAGTGTTTGAAGCCAGAAAACCTTTTCGCTGAATCCTCTGCGCTGATTTAAATCATGGCACACAAAAGTCACAGTACCTCACCGATAGAACCCTGCAAACAACCTATGGGCTGATCTAAGTCAGGGCATGGCTAACTCACAGATCGAACCCTGAAACAACCTATGGGCTGATCTAAGTCAGGGCACGGCTAACTCACCGATAGAACCCTGAAACAACCTCTGGGTTGATCTAAGTCAGGGCATGGCTAACTCACAGATAGAACCCTGCAAACAACCTATGGGCTGATCTAAGTCAGGGTATGGCTAACTCACAGATCGAACCCATAAAACAACCTCTGGGCTTATCTAAGTCAGGGCATAGCTAACTCACAGTTGGAATTGGAATTTAACGTTTAACTTGTCTCACACATCTGATGGTGAACGAGGTAAATAGGTGAAGAACTGAATATAAACCATGATAAACCCCAAATGTTTCTCACCTTTTTTTAACAATTCGAACGACCATCGGTTGCTAAATCCAGTAGTATATCGAACAGCACTTGCTCGTCCGTAGCATAGGTTTATCTAGAGGCAATAAAAGAACGATGTGAGTTTTTATAACAAGAGATAACTAGCAAAAGACTAGTGTGAGCTGCGTCGGCGTTTCTAATGAAACAGTAATGATAAAAGGGTAAATTATACACCGTGAAAAGATGAAAAAACGTATTGACGTTTCGGACGCTAGTCCTTCGTGAGAGTAAAAGAGTAAAAAAAATTGAGTTTTTATAAGCGATATTCAACAACATTTCACCTACCACAGACGATATTTTATACATAACTTAGGTTTGAGTGGATGAAATCAAAAATACCATCTAGTCCCACAAACATGTCACGTGTTATGCGAAAACACCAACCTCGAAAACTCTAAGAATTGTGGCTAAGATTTACAATGGGATAAAAAGATAAATTAAAAGATGTGATTCGTGTTTTTCTCGGAAAAAGATTCCGAGCTCCAGGCGCCATTCAAACCCGACCTTGTGTTTCAACTAGTCCGAGAAAAATATGCTTGAAGAAACTACACAAATCACGTCTATAATAATTATCCAAGCAGCTAAAAAACCTAAGGTTAATGTTTCGATTAGTATAAAGTTTTCGGTCCTACACAATTGATAAATGCTTTTGAAGCAACGTCTTTCTCTTTCATCTTTGCTTATCAAATACATCTTTCTTAATATTCATCCGAATTCGATTTGTACAAAGTACTCAAATACCTTGATTAAAAATTGATAGTTACTATAAGTGTTTTTGGCAATTAAACTAATTTGAAAAGGCAATATCAATCGTTAAATTAACCTTTAGAAAGGAGAATACTCATTTTCAATTATTCCACCCGTTTCGTTGCCCAAAATCTAACCAATGAACCAACTGGAATGTGACGAAGAGTAATGCACTTGTCAAAATTCATTCCAATATACACCTATTTCGAATATCACTGTCGCACTAAGAGCCTCAAGTAACAAGCCAAGGCTCCAGAGAACGTTGGTACTTTTAATTATAATTGATTTGTTCATGGTTCATGCAAGTGGCTATAGCTCTCCACTAATTATCATCTCAAGCAGCCTTGCTTGGAGCAATTTGTGAAGTCAATAAATGAAAATGCACCATGAATAAACTAATTACAGCTAAAAGTACCGGCGTTCTCTGCGGTCTTGGCTTGTTGCTTGAGGCTTTTGGTGCGTCAACGATTTCTGAAATAGGTGTATATGTTAAGCTGTTCATCAAAGACCCAAGAATCAACTTCTAAATTCCAATTGGAATCCAGTGGAAGAAGAGCCACTCGGTGGAATCCACTGTTAATCCCATTGTTATTATTGTTATTAGTATATGTAATAGGACTCCATGCTGTCCAATTAAGAAATAATTGGA